ACGCTCACAGGCCCTTGTTCTCATGGGTTACTTCAACCACCCTGACATCTGTTGGAGGGATGGTACGGCCCGGCACAAGCAATCCAGGAGGTTCCTTGATTGTGTGGAAGACAATTTCCTTCTGCAAGTAATAGAGGAGCCGACAAGGAGAGGTGCCATGCTTGACCTCGTGCTCACCAACAGGGAAGGGCTGGTTGGAAATGTGACACTCTAAGGCAGCCTTGGATGCAGCGATCATAAGATGCTCGAATTTGAGATCCTCAGGACAGTGAGAAGAGCGTGCAGCAAGCTCAGTGCCCTGGACTTCAAAAGAGCAGACTTTGGCCTCTTCAGGAACCTGCTTCAGAAGGTTCCATGGGATACAACCCTAGAGGGCAGAGGGGCCCAAGACTCTTGGTTGGTATTCAAGGATCACCTGCTACAAGCTCAGGAGTGTTGCATCCCAACCAGAAGGAAGTGCAGCAGGAGGGCCAGGAGTCCTCCTCGGATGGATAAGGAGCTCCTGAGGAAAATTCAAACGAAAAAAGAGGCTTATAATTAGTGGAAGCAAGGACAGGTGGCATGGGAAGAATACAGGGATGTTGTCCGAGAAGCTAGGGACCAGGTTAGGAAAGCTAAGGCTCAGTTAGAATTAAACTTAGCTAGAGGTATTAAAGATAACAGGAAGGGTTTCTACAGGTACATGGCAAATAAAAAACAGACTAGGGAGAATGTAGGCCCTGTCAGGAAGCGCTCGGGAGAATTGGCCACACGGGATTTGGAGAAGGCTGAGGTTCTGAATGACTTCTTTGACTCTGTCTTCACTGGCAAATGCTCTGACAAAACCACCCAAGTCTTGAAACGCAGATGCAGGGACTGTGAGAATGAAGACCTTGCACCCACTGTAGGAGAGGAACTGGTTCGAGACCATCTTAAAAATCTGAACATGCACAAGTCCATGGGTCTTGATGAAATCCATCCATGGGTCCTGAAGGAGCTGGCAAATGAAGTTGTGAAGACACTGGCCATCATATTTGAGAAATCATGGCAGTCAGGTGAAGTTCCCAACAACTGGAAAAAGGGAAATATAACCCCCATTTTCAAGAAGGGGAAAATGGATGACCCAGGGAATTACAGACCAGTCAGTCTCACCTCTGTGCCTGGCAAAATCTTGGAGCAGATTCTCCTGGAAGGCATGCTAAGGCACATGAAAAACAACAAGGTGCTTGGTGACAGCCAGCATGGCTTCACTAAGGGGAAATCCTGCCTGACCAACTTGGTGGCCTTCTATGATGGGGCTACAGAACTGAGGGACAGGTAGAGCTGTTTATGTCATCTACCTGGACTTGTGCAAAGCATTTGACACTGCCCCACACGACATCCTTGTCTCTAAATTGGAGCGACATCAATTTGATGGATGGACCACTCGGTGCATAAGGAACTGGCTGGATGGCTGCACACAAAGAGTTGTGGTCAATGGCTCAATGTCTGACTGGAGGCCAGTAATGAGTGGCGTCCCTCAGGGATCGGTGTTGGGACCGGTTTTGTTCAACATCTTTGTCGCTGACATGGACAGTGGGATTGAGTGTGCCCTCAGCAAATTTGCTGATGACACCAAGCTGTGTGGTTCGGTTGATATGCTGGAGTGCTGGAGGGAAGGAATGCCATCCAGAGGGACCTTGACATGCTTGTGAGGTGGGCTGATGCCAACATTATGAAGTTTAAAAATGACAAGTGCAAGGTCCTACACCTGGGTCAGAGCAATCCCAGGCACACCTACAGGTTGGGCAAAGATGAGATTCAAAGCAGCCCTGTGGAGAAGGAATTGGGCGTGTTGGTCCGTGAGAAAATGAACATGAGCTGGCAGTGTGCGCTTGCAGCCCAGAAAGCCAACCGTATCCTGGGCTGCATCAAAAGGAGCGTGACCAGCAGTTCGAGGGACGTGATCCTGCCCCTCTACTCTGCTCTTGTGTGACCTCACTTGGAGTATTGTGTGCAGTTCTGGTGTCCTCAACATAAAAAGGACATGGACCTTCAGAACAAGTCCAGAGGAGGGCCACGAGGATGATCAGGGAACTGGAGAACCTCCCGTATGAAGACAGGCTGAGAAAGTTGGGGCTGCTCAGCCTGGAGAAGAGAAAGCTGCATGGAGACCTCGTAGCAGCCTTCCAGTATCTGAAGGGTGCCTATAGGGATGCTGGAGAGGGACTCTTCATTAGGGACTGTAGTGACAGGACAAGGGGTAACGGGTTAAAACTTAAACAGGGGAAGTTTAGTTTGGATATAAGAAGGAAATTCTTTCCTGTTAGGGTGGTGAGGCACTGGAATGGGTTGCCCAGGGAAGTTGTGAATGCTCCATCCCTGACAATGTTCAAGGCCAGGCTAGACAAGGCCTTGGGTGATATGATTTAGCGTAAGGTGTCCCTGCCCATGGCAGGGGGGTTGGAACTAGATGATCTTAAGGTCCTTTCCAACCCTAACAATTCTGATTCTATGATTCTAGAAGAAAGTAAATAACCTAGTATATTGTATATGTACCAGCTAAACCACCCATTTATCCCTGTGCTGGTAGACAGCTTTCCTCTTTTGGTACTTCATTCACTCGAAACTTAGCTTGGACTTATCCAATTTTTCCTTAGAAGTACACTGTTATATACATTTACATACATGTTTATACACACTTACATATGGTCTTTCATTTCAAGAGCAGCTCACTCTAGCAATAGGACAATGAATATAGATAGGGAGAATGAAATACTTTCACAGTACTCTAACAGATTAAGCTACATCTTTTCGTGAGCTACACTTGAGCAACAAACAAATACAAAGAAATCTAAAAGATTTCTTAAACGTGCCGATACCCATGAAATGACGCTACTAGACATTAATGGATTTAGTCCCATGTTTTGACTATTCCTATTATTACTAGGGTTTATTTATAGTCACTCTTCAGATTTTACAGTGCACAGATGGAGGACCAACTTTAATAAGTACTTTATTAGCCTTGCTGATTTTATTAATTGTTTATGATACACTAACATCTAATCACATAAAGTACAATTTAAAACTGACACCCACAGCATGAGAACTAACAAACAGCAGTTTTTCATTCATTTTCATATAGACTAATAAATATTTGGAATAATTACTCTGCAAATAGGAAAGGATTCGAACTGCTAATTTCATATAACTTCAAAAAAGCATGTCTCTTAATTAATGAACTGTAGAGTCTTTGACATTACAATTTACATTCTTCAAGAGAAAAATCAAGTGCAAGAATATGTAACACTAAACAACACATAATTAGAAACACTTTGTTTTAATTATCTTGGGTCATAATTAATGTTGGCCCTGCAGTTCATCTTTCTCTTTGATAGCTCCTCAGACTATTTATGTAGATTAATTCTTGAAGTACTGGCCTTCACTAATACGTGTTTTTGAACAAGTCGCTGCACAGCACTGACATAAGTCAGGAAACCTATTCACTGACCTTCCAGAACTAGACTCTGTCTGTCCATAACATTACACTATATATCTGGGCAATTTGCCACAACTGATAAAGGTTGTGACATTATTGAATAGCTTCCTATCAACTGAGGACATAAAGAACTGCAACTGTCAAGCAGACTAATTAAGGCAAAGCAAACACAAATAGTGCATATTTGGAAACAAAAGACTATGAAGAAACTACAATCATTCCCCATCAACAGATAAAGCAAGACAATAGTGAACTGTACATTCGTCAGATTTTATGGGCCTTAAAAACTGAATATCATGTATTTTTTCCCAAGTCAAAATTAGAGTTAATATCAAATATGTCTGGTTTACAGTCTAAGATTTTAAAAGAAAGAAAAATTGCAGAGACTGCCTTTTAGATTTGCTATTTAGATCCAAACATTATAACTGTTCACATTCTACTTCTAATAAAGTCCTCAAGAACAAAGATAGAGTTTTCATTTTATTAGAGTATAATTCAAAATAATGATTCAAAAGAGCCACTTAGGCAAAAACATTGAGGCTAAGTGATGAAGTCTTTGTTTACAACATAAGATCATTCTAAGGCATTTATTTATTCATATCTGTAACACTACATAGACCCTTGAACAGAACAGAATGGAGGAAATACTTGATAAATTAAAAAGATGCCTTTGTACTAGTTCAAAATTATATTAAAATATGCATAGTCTTATTTTTTAAAACACATTGAAACCCATGCTTCTATCAAGGAGCACAAAATAAGTTCAATATATATAGTGGTTATAGTCTTACCTGCACCTTGCCCATGGCTGCCTCAGTAAACTTTGAAACTTGCCCTCTATTTAAGAATTACCATAAGGTGCACCATTTTGCATCTTAATTTTTCCAGAAATGCACTCAAAACATAGAGTGTGCAATTCTCCATGTAGTCTACAAGGACATATACTTTCTGCGATCCAGCAGTAAAAAGATCTGAGCTCTCCCAAGCAAGCAATCTAACAATTAAAAGTTGAGCAATAAGCTACAATGAAGCAACACTGGTTTTATGACAGTTGTTAAACCATGCATACCAGTCTTACAATATTAATAATTATAGAATCACAGAAACTTTTAGGTTGGAAAAGACCTTTAAGATCATCAAGTCCAACTGTTTATTAGCATGAAAATGTAACTTCATACTCAGTTTCTGATAATGTACATTTGATAATCTGGACAACTCAAGCAAACACCTTTGAAATCGAGACATAATCAGTAAAAAAAACTAAATTATTATTACATGGTGCCAATTAAATGAAGAATAATGTATGAATTTGTTTTTAAAGATATATGATACTCAACATTAGAGAGGGATCCTCTCAGTGGTTCTAAGACTTAGCTTCTTGTTCATCCTTAGTAAATGAATCATTAAAAAAACCACCCCACAACAGGACTACAGGTGAACTGTGAAAGACTAGATTTATACTACAGGGTGATTCAGTGCCAATAAACCAATGAGGCAGGGGGGGCAGTGTGTTTTTTCTGTGTAAAACCATTGTACTTCTTACCTCCAAAGCTTTCAAACGCTCCAGCAGCCATTTCGTCTTTTCTTTTTCCTCTTCAGTGCTGCTGCTTTCACTTCTTGAATCTTCATCTGCTGGTGTGTGAATTTTTTCCATGCCTTCGTTACATTTCCTACTGTCTTCTGACAGCTTTTCCTGAAATGTTTTTTTTTTAAATGTCATTACTTATAGGTGCAAATGAAGTTAACTATGCAAATAGCATAAAATTCTCCCTTGTAGGTAAATGAAAAAGACAGAGCAAGTTGCTAGTTACAATTACAGCACTAAATAAGTGGAGTCATGAAGGGTCTATGAAACATGCTCCTGTGCCAATTCTGCTAAAGTGTATGCACAGTTTAACTGCTACATTTACTTAAGATTTTTTAAAAGTGGAACGCACCATCTTTTTAATAAACTAACTTGCATTTTCTTCTTTAGAAGTTGCAATGAAAACAGAGCATATCAGCTTTCAGTGAAAACCTTTTGCCACTGAGATATAAAGTGGTTCATTGAGGAAAAGCTAACATATGTTCATACCTAATGTATTTCACCTTTCTCCATCTAGAGCTAATATTTGAATTACTAAATAATGGGCTGAGAACCAAGCTACCACATACTGATTTAAGATTCACACTAATATATAACTGGAGAGAATCAAACTGACAGTAAAATTTTCAGAAGTGACCGAGTCAGTCACATTGGGTTATTACTAGATGCTGCTGCTGCTGAGTGGACTACGGCTGCTGAGTTTTACAAGAGGTCTATAAAAATCATAGTACTGAACAGCGAATCTTACTGACTCCATTAATTATGTGTCCAAGTTTTGTGCTGAGAGAATGAGATTGAGCAAGCAAAACATTGAGACTACAAGCAGGCAGTGTAAAATACTGCCCAAAACAACAATGCAAACACACAGGGAAAAAAAGAGAACTGCACAGATGTACAGAGTGAAATATCATCTGAGTGCAACACAAAGGGGACAGTCTCTACCTTGTAAACCATGTTCTCTAACTACATAAGCAGATGCACTGTGACAACTATTGAGAAGATTAAGGACAGAAAATGTGAGGTAAATCAACATAAAATAATGAGTGCCAACACAAATCGGGAGAAGTCCTTTAATGAGCTTTTAGCTTTCTTCATGTGCCTTCCTGTGAGTCTTATAAGCAAAAGCATGTACTTTCACAAGCTCTGGGTTAGTCTGTAAGTGAGATGAATTTCCCATAATTACTGCAGAACACAAACTCTGTATAAGCATAAAAATACACATTTTCATGAAGAACTGGCCCAGCTTGAATAACTGAGCAAATACAACTCTTGAAGAGTTAAGGGCAAGACATTTTCCTAACTAAACCCCATAAACACAACAGAATGAAAAATCAGATGGATCACATTTCTAATAATATCTTTTTTAAATATTAACTAGCTTAGAAATTGACCATCACTATGTTAAAAATTTAATCAAGAATCAATTTTATAAGCAATGGTCTTAATCATGGAATACTCTTACACAAACCATAGGCACAGATCTCATTCTCAGCCTCAAAACACAGACATCAAAGAGTCATTCCATCAGGTTTCCAGCATTAGTGCTATCCTGATCACAAAGGAATAAAAAATATAGTGGTTGGGTTGTTTTTTTTTCTTGCTGCTACTCTTTGGTTCAATGACCAAGCACCTGTAAAAGATCCATTAAACCACTTTCCCTTCAAGCCGCCCTGATGAGTGCATTGACATAAAACACTGATGAACTCTGGGAAAAAAAAAGTAAAATTGACAAAGGTATCTCTTTGTTACAATTTAAACATGAGCAATCATTTTCTGAAAAGAATGTGACATGAATTCAATGTGGCTAACAATGGAAGAAAACATCTACACAGGGACACCCCTCCTGCTCAAACTAAAGGGCAGCAATTTCAAAGGAAAGGTAGAAGAAAGCATAGGTTACATTTCATCACAAAAAGGGGAGTAATGCAACTTCGTGCAGAGTAACAACTCCCAGTCACGTAAAGAAGTAACCCATTCATCTTCTAGTTAAAAAACTTGATGAACTTTGCACACTAGTGGCATATCAAGAATACACATCCTGTTTTATTACAGTGCACAGAAAATCTCAAAGATTCTACTGCTACCCCTGCTTCAGTGTTTAAGTTCACATAATTTCAAAACTATTTTATTACTCAGTCATAATACATGAGTTTCAGGCATGGGCTGCAAAAAGTCCCTGACATGTCACCTACCTTACCTAGAAAAGCTGCAAAACTGAGGAAAACATTACTAACCTTAAAAATCATGCTTAAGCATGCAATCTGCTGAGGGCACTGCCCTGTCACTTTAACCAGTTCTATGTGGATGACACACACTAGGGGTAGAGTGGAAAATCTACACTCAAGAAAGCAAGCAGATGCTTCTTAAACACTCTCTGCTTAAAGTCAAGTCAAGTAAGGAGGAGGATGACAAAGGCTTTTGGAATGACAGAATCATCTTAAAATGCTAATATCAAAGGCAGCTGCCAGCTGGGGGGAGGCAGGAAGGAGCAGAGAGAGATTTGGAAGAGGAAATGTGCACCTCCTGTATGATGTTGACCAAATACTGCAGAAAGCTCTGGCATGAGCATGCTGAAGGCAGCGAATGATGGCATACAGCAGCTTATTCCTTTTTCCTTCTAAATTCCTTTAGTTGTGTTACCTCAAATAAAGAACGTTTTTTGACTCTTCTGAACAGTCTTCTGTTGTATGACTCATGTATTGCACAATTAAAGGCAGGCTGGGTTTTCAAGAACAACAAAATACTCTCCAGGACAGAAGTCCAGCAACAGCAGAGTTTGTGCTATTCTGCTGCTCAATGCACTTTAATTTCTGTGAAAAGGCAACAGATGGAAATGGTGCTCTGGAAGTAAGATGGAGGAAAAAAAAACCCAACTAACAACCCATCTCTTGGTTTCCCCGGAGCCAGTAAGATTTTAAGACACATGCCTGTACCACAGGAGGTACAGCAGCCCGTTGAGAATTCCACAGTAACATCTCATCTACACCTCTAATGTTCTGTATGAACAAAGAGACAATAAAAATATTAAACATTAAAATCTCACTAGATGGAAACTAGCATTATGCTGCACACTGTAAACCAGTTCCCACAGAAATTAATGAGAAACTTACAATCAGCTCCCACATTGTGTAAGCTTCTCAAGCTGGTTTAAACTGTCACTGCTTTCCTGAAACCAACAGTATTTTGTAGATCTTAAATGACATCCTGCTGTGACCATTATTTCAAAGTATTCAGTGTGTTCTATACACGAAAAAAATAATACATGGGTGCTGACCCCTTGGATCAAACACTTGGGGCCCTATAGCTAGGAGAAAACAAGAGATGAAAACAGACCCTGCAGTATGGAAACGGCAAGTTTCTAGAATCAATGGGAAGATATAAATCACTAGAGACATTGATCTATGAAGCTATACAATGCAGAGGCCTAACTGAGAGTTACCAGAAAGCTGGTTTTCAGTTAGGAAGAGGCAGTATAGTACTCCCTCTTTCCACTAATAACAGTAAGAACAGTAAATTAAGAGAGTAGGAAATCCACCTGAAATTACAAATGATAATTTGCTGGAATTTGTAGAATATAAATAAATATGCAATTTATAAATATGCAGAATATAAAGAAAAACTTCACCCTTTCACCTTTCAGAGTACTGAACAAGAAAGTGTTTTCACTGTTTATAAACAAAAGGAGTAACTATAATGATAGAAAAGATCATATTGAAGCTTTCAAAAGATAAGAGACCAAACCACCTATTTCAGAAATTTCTCCTTCATTCCAAGAAAGGCAAAAGGCTACTGCCCCCTCCCCCCCCCCCCCGCATTAGTCATTGGGATGCCTTTCCTCTAAGGCTTGTCACCTTTTCAAGGAATGGCCAAATGTCAATGGTACACCTATCCAGCTATTTCTTAACTATTATTATTTCAGAAATTATTGTACTTTTGAAGTTTTATTGCTAGCACCATCAGTTGTCTGTTCTTTGCCCTTTCTTCTTAAGATGCTGTCTAGGAATTTCACTACACACACAGAGGAAAAAAAAAAAAAAACTAGAAAAAAAATCAGCTCACTTTAAAATATTTCAATATTTTACAATTAAAATTATAACTATGAAATTTTAAACCAAGAAGAGTAAATGTCAGATGATGTCAGGGTGGACAGCGGAGTGGAGGAAAGGAAGCCAGAAAATATCTATTTCAGATTTTCTTTTCTATAGTGAAAACCATGATTAGTCACTAATTGGAATAAGTGTTCTTCTCTGGTAGTAACGATAAATACGTGATATGAAATGATCGTAGAGTCCCCAGGGAACTCATGTTCCAGTTGTTCCTGATTTAAGATTTTACAATGCAAGAACTACCTACCAAGGAAGAGGCCTTTAGGAAAACAAATCATGAACACTGTCAACCAGCAGATGGCCCTCTACATGAGGAGGTCAACTAGAACCAGTAGCAGCACAGCACCTGCCACAGTTCTCGGCATTGGGAAATGCAAAGTCCTGCACTGGGGCAGGTATAACCCCCAGCACCAGCTGAGACTAGGAGGCAACTACATAGGAAGGTATCTGTTGCAGACAAAAGAGGATATGGAGCCAGACTCTTCCTGGAAATGGCATGATGAAAAAGATGACAGGATAGAATGGACACAGTTTGGAACACGGTAAATTGAAATTAGATACAGAAAAACTTCTTTTTCTTCCTCCCCACCACCTCCCACGAGGTCATATGGCTGCTGGAACGAGTTACCCATGGAGGTTCTCAAAACACAGATATTGCAAAGTTCAGTATTATAGCCACTGGGCAAGAGGCTATAATATTAAAATATAGCATAATCTCATTCTGATATAACTGGATCTGGAGTATACAGTATATTTGAATATTTGCTACTACCACCAAGATCTGCACCTGCGGCGGCTCCACCCGGGCCCGCATCCCAGGCTTCGAGGCGCACCGCAGCGGCCCTCCTACTCGTCGTGGCCTAGCCCCTCATCCCCAGCGCGCGTGCTCCCTCTCGAGAACACGCGGTGGCGGGGTCTCGCACCGCTGGCGACGGCCGGGTATGGGCCCGATGCTCCAGCGCCATCCATTTTCAGGGCTAGTTGATTAGTAGCGAGAGTCTG